AGTCATAAGTGAAATTCTTATGCAATGAATCTAGTTTTTCTTGCATAGCTTTCAACCAATTTTCTTTTTTTTTATTTTCTATAACTTCCCCATAACATTGTGGTTCACCTACATCACTGAGCATAACATACTCATGAGAGTATTTCTTTGATGGCACTTGTTCCCTAATAAACATTCTTAGTTGTGATTCTTCTTCATGAGTTTTAGGTTGCTCTTGTGGTACTTGATGAGCTTCTATGGGCTGTTCCCCCTCTTCTTCATGATCAACATCACTTGAGTTGCCACCTAAAGCACTACCATCATCAACCACATTATCTTGTAAATCTTCTCTGTTTTCATCATACACAACAGATGAAGGAACCAAATCCAAATCAGCAAAGCTTTCAGGCTTTGATTGTGACTTTGCAATGTTCTTAAACCCAACAATTTGATCTTCAAGAAAGATCGCATCTTTACTTCCTACTAGCTTCTTGTCAATTGGATCCCATAACTTGTACCAAAAATTTTCATCTGCATAACCTAAAAAAGTGCATTGCTTAAACTTTCCATCAATCTTTGACCTTTCACCTTTGGGAATTAATATGCACAGATGCCTTGCAATCAAATACCCATAGGAAACATCTCTCTATCTATACCTTTTCTGGCACACCTCCATCCAAAACAATTGAAGGAGACAAGTTAATTAAGTAACAAGCAGTACGCATTGCCTCTCCCCAAAAATATTTTGACAATTTAGCATATGAAAGCATACACCTAACTCTTTCCTCAATAGTGTGATTCATTCATTTAGCCACATCATTATGTTGTGGAGTTCTGGGAACTGACTGTTCATGCCGAATACCATGGTTTTTGCAATATTCCTTAAATGGACCAATTTATTCACCTTCATTGTCTGTATAGATGCATTTGAGGAGTTTCCATGTTTCTCTTTCAACTCTAGCATGAAAATGTTTGAATATCTCCAAGACCTCATTTTTATGTTTCATGGTATATGCCGATGCTTTTCTAGATGCATCACCAATGAACGTAACAAAGTAAGACTTGGCTTTCATGTCACATACATCAGAGTGAACTAATTCTAAAACATTATGCTTTATATGAGGAGGGTTTCTTTGAAAAGAAATTCTATGTTGTTTACAAGCAAAACAATGAACACATGAATGTAAATGTGTATCTTTCAAGCTCGGGAGGAGTTGTTTCTTAGAAGTCATTTTTCACTCATGTGACCAAGCCACTTATGCAATAGGTTGGAGAAGCCTTTGTCTTTAACATTCAACTACCTCTTACATAACCGAGTTTTCATTCTATAAAGAGTACAACATCTTCGTCCCTTTGCCACTACAAGAGATCATTTGGTGAACTTCCATTTTCCTTTACCAAATTGTTGTTATAGCCTTTTTCATCTAATTTTCCTACAGAAATTAAGTTGAAGCGAAGATCCAATACGTGTCTCACATCTTTGAGAACCAATTTACAACCAACATCAATCTCTATTTGTACATCACCTAACCCCATATTTTTGTGTAGTTATTACCCATTCTTATAACACCAAAATCACCTTATCTGTGTCTTGGCATATAAAATTAAAACAAGATTCTTCACATCCTACAAAAATCATAACCTCACCATCTGAAACAATTGCAATTATCTCATTTCCTTCTTTCTTTTTATCACTTTTTAATTTTCTGCATTCTCTTTAAGTGTCTCAACTTATTGCAATAATGGCAAGTAATATCCTTTCTTGACTTGAATTTACCTCTAGACTTGTCACGGTTGTATGGACCTCGGCTTTGACTTCTACTCTAGCTTTCTATAATAAGTGCATCTAATTTACTAGTGTCCAATGATTTCCTTCTTATTTCCTCATTGAGCAAACAGATTCTTACTATACTCATTGTGACTTTTTCTTTGAATGCAGAGTTGCTAAGATACACCACAAGAGTCTCCCAACTTTCTGGCAATGAGCTCAGTAACAATAAGGCTTGGAGTTCATAATCCAACATAATTTTCATTGAAGCCAACTGATTTACAATATCTTGCATTTGGTTCAAGTATTTGGTAATGGATGAACCCTCCTTATACTTCAAATTTATGAGTTTTCTTATTAAGAAAGCCTTATTGCCGATGGTTTTCTTTTCATACAACTCTTCCAAGTTGTTCCAAAGCGAAACAATTGAAGTTTCATTTGCTACAAAGATGATAAACACTATCATCCAACCATTGTCGAATACATGTAGCGGATTTCAGGCCAAGAATTTCCCATTGGTCACTTGACATATCCTTAGGCTTGCCTTGTTCACCTTTCAATAGTGCATACAAGTCTTTGGAGAGCAACATATCTTTCATCTTTGACTTCCAAAGAGACAAATTGCTTCCATTCAATGAAATCATCATAACCAAATTTTCTTTCATGATTTGCAGAAGAACCTTGCTCTGATACCACTTTGTTGGGAATGATCCCTATGTTTTTTCTTGTGCAAATCAAAGAGATTTTAACAAGAAACAACAAGCATGAAGTAATGAAACAAACAACCAAAAACAAAACAAGAAATGGTAGTGGACACCAAGATTTATGTGGAAAATCCCTCCATGTAAGGGTAAAAATCACGGGACTGAAATCCAAATCATCCACTATCAACAATGAAAATGTGATACAATTAATGTTTAAAATTTCAATACGATACGCCCGATACAGGGTGTATCGTATCGTATATTTGAAAAACCGATACAAGATACGTATGGAAATCAGACGTTTCATCTTTTCTCATGCATATTGGACCCGTATCGGGGCATATCGGGGATGTATCAAGGCGTATCGATAGTGTATCGACGAAAAAAAATTTTGGCCAAAAACTAAAAAAAAAAATACTAAAGGGGAAAAACAAACTTCTTTTCCCCAAAATAAGCCTTCTTTCACCCCCAAATGACTCTAAAATTCCAAACTTCATTCTTAGAGTGCTAGATTTGCAAAAGTTTGTAAGAAACAAGTGTGAATCGCTAATTTTTTTAAAGATTTTTCAAATTTTGAAAAAATATGGCAAAAATAGGTAAATTTTTCAATCTCTTATAATATCTTGTGATTTCTTTTTTCTGAATGTTTAAATTTATGTTGATCTACATTTTTTACATTCAAAATCACAATTTTTTTTGTGTTATTGATAGATTTATGGAAATTTCATGAAGATATTTGGGGAAATATAAATTAACAAAAAATTTGAAAATGTAATTTTTTTCTACCTATAAAGATTAAATATGTTTTAGATCTATGGATTTATCTATCATATCCATATAGCAATTGAAATTTCTCCTTTAATATTTTTTTGATTTTTTATATTTTTAGAATTAAATAATAAATAATAATTGAATATATTATAATTCTATGGTTGATCTATCATATCCACAGACCAATTGAAATTTATTCTTTAATAATTATTTTTTTTATATTTTGTGAATTAAAAAAATAATTAATTAATGAATTATATTTTATCATTTGATCGCAATGATTGAATATATTATAATTCTATGGATGATCTATCATATCCACAAAACAATTAAAATTTCTTCTTTAATAACTATTTTTTGAATATATTATTTAATGTTTATTTATTTTTTATAATTTTTTTAAATGAATAATAAATAATAATTAATTATATTTTCACATAGAAGTTGTGCCAATGCATGTTTTATGGTTAGATAGGAGAGTTGGGTTTTTCTCATCCCATAAAACAATAAAACTTAAGAATTATAATTTATAAATTATAGTTAAGCATAGGATTTTTAATGAAATTATAATTAGCTATAATATATTTATTTATAAAACCATTAAAATATATTAATTTAATGCATATACACCTCATTGAGGTCTTATATTTAGTGTTGTTGATGTATTTTTATAACTCATTAAAGTATTTATAGTGTTTCCAAATATATCTATGCACATCTTAGTTTTTCTCCGATACACATGTGTATCCATGGCATATCTTGATACGTCTCTTAAAATTGCCTTTCCAATACACTTAACGTTTCCAATACTTTGAACCTTGGATACAATGTCTTTCGATTTTGTCACAACTAGATGATGAACATCAAAAAAGTTCTTGAGTTCCAATAATAAAAACATCAACAAAATGGATAGCAAACAAGATGTTTCTCATTAAGAGTGAAAATACAACAAAGAAGCAAAAAAAGATGCTAAAAAAATGTATTTGTCTTCTTCGTTTTAGCACTTGTAAATCTTCTTTTTCTTCCCAAAACCTTCTTCTCAAGACCCTTTTCTTTCTCTAATATTTTCCCTTAGAGAGCTGTTGGAGTTGAGAGAGTAACGAGTGAGCTATCCCAATTCGTTGGATAGCCAAGTCCATATTGGCTTGCAAGACAAGCCAAAAAATACAAAGGCCTTTTGATTTCCCTTTTTGTCCATTTACACCTTTTCTTCTTTTTTGTCTTTATTGATTTGTGGGTTCCACTTCATGAAGAGGACAACCCAATAATATCAAGAGAGCTTTCTAAATTGAAAAATGGCCATCGCAAGTAAAAAAAGAGAATTTGATCTTTCCTGGGATGTATTCATCACAATATCAAAAGTGGAACAGTGGAAGATACTACCAACCAATAAACTGAAGCGATGCAACCGTAGTTATCCTCCGCAGAAAACAAATGATCATATACAAAAATGGTTTCCCAAAGGGATTATAATCTGCACCATGGTTGGATGGATTTCGAATGTCAGTAAAAGAACTGCTCCCTATAATGTGAGAATGGGCTTTGAATGTGCTTAATGCAGTCAAGTAGAACCTGCCACTACATTGATATTGGATCTACCAATATGTGCTTTATCATGCAACTGAACCCACAACCAGTAGTCCAATGGTTGCATGGCAACCCAGGTAGTCCAGTGGGCCTTACATGCCCCCTGCTCTTCCCTAAAAGACCCACATATCCATGAACAGCAAAGGAACAAGTCCCCTTAACACATCGCTTTTATATTAATATGAACCCTATAAAAACCAAAAGCGAACAGATAATGAGGACTATAATTTCTATTCAAAAAGTGGTCCACCTGTCCTGTTACATCTGTGGAAAAGGGATAGTACTCTTACAAGAGGCCAAGAGGGGCATGATGTAACATACAAGCAGAAGGAAAAATAAAGAAACCACAGGGAAATGCTTAGGAGAAGTCATTTCTTAGCTTGTGGTTGTGCTGTTGAGTGTTGCTGTTGTTGGGCTTGTCCCTTCGAAGGAAGATTAGCTGCCATAGACCGTAACATGTTTGCAATCTCTGTGAAACTCGGTCTCTCTGATGTCTCCGATGACCAGCATTTCTCCATCAGTGATCTCCACTCTGGATCACAATAGTCTGGCACCGCTGGCCGCAATGTGTTGCTCACAATACCACCTTTTTTTTTTCAAAGCATGAGAACTATAGGTATAAACATATTTGTAACTAAAATCAAGTGAGAGTGACAAGCATACAATATTGATGAGTACAATTTAAACATTACCAATGATTGCTCCATAGTGCAAATCTGCATATGGTTCTTCTCCGGTTAGAAGCTCCCACATAACAATACCAAAGGAGAACACATCAACCTGAGTCACATCAATAATACCAAAACACTTATAACATCCAAAAAATTGAATATCATGGATGCTAACTTGGTACAGGAATCAGAAAAGACCTTCTCAGAGACCAGGCTGTTGCTGCCATTTAGAAGTTCCGGGGCCATCCATGGCAGTGTTCCCCGAACACCACCTGAGATAAGGGTCTGGCATTTCACTTTTGACAGGCCCAAATCACTAACCTGGCAGTAATACAGTATTTGAAGACATTAACCCAGTTCACCAGATATTTAATTTTTGTGCAGATAGCAGAAATAGAATAGTTTAGATGGTCTGGTTCAAAAATAGCATTCTTTTGAAAGTAAAGAAAAGAAAATTTCATTAAACTAAAAGATATTGCAAAGGTATATGGCAATGAGGCATCACCCGTTGCATCCGTGACATTAAAATAAAGTACAAGGAACCTAACAACCGGCATCTCCACTTTCTAACTCTAATGTCAATAAAAAATCAGAGCCAAATAATTCTTTGAAAGCTTCTATAAATTCTAATAATATCAGAATCCACTCCATTTTGATTCCTATTCTTTAAATTCTGGTTCAAAAATAGCATGCTATTTACTAGATGCATCTTAAATACTAGAGCATTGCCAGCAAACAAGAATTAGCACAACCCTCTGATGAAGATAACAAGATTTCAGAAACTCAATTCACAAATATTGCAAGCCAAAACTTTAAATAGGTGTGAGTTGCTTGTTTATGAAGAAATAGAATAGCTCGTATCATCTGACACAATAATAGATACAGTGCACTATGCCAAACCAGCAAATAAGAATCTATGCTCACATTATCATTTTTCAAGAAATTCAACCTCAACTGATCATGTTGACTGGCTGTAATTTTTAATAGTTAAAAAAAGAGCACACAAACATTACACACTTTTTTCATTTGTAGCCATAAATAGGGATAGCAATGGTTTGGGTTCCACAGCACCCACAAAAAATTCCATATATTTAAGTGCCAAACCCATCTTTGATAAAGTTTTCCATGAACTTCATTTAGTGGACACGCCACCATAAGGACACAATCTGCTCTCCAAAGCCTGAGAGTTGTGAAGAATGTTGGTTGCATAGGACTGAAGCATTGTAGACTGGTAAATGCTTCTTTGTGTGGTAAATGGTGGTAAAAGTTTTCCAAAGACCAAGTCTTCAGAGGAATGTTATTGTCCCAAGTGCAGAATGTCCAATCAAGTTGGAGAGACACAGGAAGTTCAAATTACCTATTTTTAATGGAATTTGGAGGGGATTCAGAGAGCTAAGGATTTTCTTACCAAAGGAATTGGGCACAGTCTGGGAAATGATTCAAGAACCCAATATTGAGCTTATAACTGGTGTAATATTTGATCTATTAAGGACACTTTTGCTTGCTTGTATGCAATCACTGTGAATCATACATGCAATCTTTTAAAATTGAGAAGCACAAGGTGCAAGGTGAGACACATGCTTGACCTAAGTGAGACACCATTTTTAAAAAAAAAAAAAAGAGGAAAGCTTAATAAAAAAGAATAGGAAGATTTAAATTCTAAAAGAAATAAAATATTTCAGAAAAAATCTATTAGCTCAATTAGGTAAAGTATGTTGTAATCAACATACTTCAAGCAGAAAAGTACATCTAAGGAGGCTCTGATAGGAAGGACTGAGAGGCTTCTACTAATTGGTATCTAGTGCTGAAGGAATTAAAGGGATGCACTTTCAATCACTTACAGAATTAGTGGGGATATCTAATTTTATGAAGCTTTTACTGATGGGTGACCCTTTGTACTTTTGCTTTTGATTCTTCCTTTTGTCTAGTTATTGTATTATGAGGTGATTCCCTCATCACCCCTTCTAGGTTCCTCACCTTTTTATTTTTTTGATAGGAAACAGTAACTTGCATTAAGATAGATTAAGAGAATAGACGGGTCCAGTCCCCAAATTCCCATGCTACTTGTTTGTAACCACCCTATCACCAGTTTTTAATCCCCCTCCACTTCAATTTGTTGGAGGCCTAGTTGTTTTGCCAATCTCCCTTGGAGGAGAGCTAGAACTTCAGCTCTTAGAGAATCACCCTCTCCTATTGGCCCTAAATGCAATACCACTCTCCCTTTTCCATCTCTTATTACTCTACCAATGCTAGACGGACCTGGGTAACCAAAAGAGCCCCCATCAAACAGCCTTTCACTTGTTGATGGAGACCAAATCTCCTGTAAGCCCTTGAGGTTAAAGAAGTCACTACTGCATTCCAATTTCTAATGATATCATCATTGTCAATAGAGAGGCACTTGTATCAAAATAATAATAAAAATAATAATAATAATAATAATAATAATAATGATAATAATAATAATAACAATAATAATAATAATAATAATAATAATAATAATAATAGTAAGAAGAAGAAGAAGAAGAAGAAGAAGAAGAACAACAACAACAACAACAACAACAAAAAGACGCTTCGTTTCTGGTAATAAGAAAAACTCATATTATACATGAGGGGTAGCTGACCCCAAATGTCTAAAGAGAGATAGAAATAAGTTCTTTAACAATAGAATTGTTCTTATTAAAGAGAGGATGCCTACAAGTCACTTTTGCTAGCCAATCAGATTGGCTTCTCTGAACAAAGGAGCACTTCTTTTTATAGGTAAAAGAAACTATATTAAATTAATGCAATCTAAGGCTGAAGAGAGTTGGGCATATAGCCTGCAACAATTCTTCATGAGCTGTATGCATGGCCATACATCTAAACGATCCTCAAAAACTCAACAGATCCCCTTCAAAGTTTCAAACTTGGTCAAGTGTGCAAGGTTGTTGCTTGTAGAGTATTTGAAAGAGTTTCCCCATCATAAGAAGTTTCCAATCATTTAAATTCCTTCTAAACCTTGGAGACCACACAATGCCATTTTGAGTTGCTTCACACTGTCAGTTACTTCTACATTTCTGTTTCAGGAAAACAGAAACAGACCTAGGAACAGCTCCATGAGGGACCTATCTGAGACCATGTTTCCTAAAACTTCTAAAACTCATCCTTTTCCCATATCTAATTTTATAAATCAATCCTCTTGGCTGCATTTGTTTCCAGTGCAAAAACAAATATGTACAGTTCAAAAACCTCCTCTGACTGGCTCATGAGTGCAGAGTGGTTTAGTTTACACTGAATTTTTTTTTATCAGCAAAATAAATTTCATTTGTTAATGTCTGAAATAAAATACAAGTGTTTTACCCAGTGTTTTAAAAGGAATGGGAGGCAAGGCGCCCCCATAACACCCTGAGGCATATGCCAGAGGCGCTGACACCTCTGCGGAATACGCCTCATACGCTTTTTTCATGACGTGTGCTAGAGCCTAGAGGTGTACGCCTCATGCACACCTCATGAAAAAAGACAGAAATAAAAAAAGAAAAAAAAGGAGAGGAAAGGAAAGGAAAAGAAAGGGAAGGGGAAGAAAAAAGAAACAAAAGGAAAGGGAAGTTAAGGGGAAAGAAAGTGGGCCGGGGGCTAAGCCCCCGGACCCCTTGGCTGGGGCCCCCCCCTTTCAACTAGTGCTGTGCAATTTCATTTTTCTTAATATAAAGATTTTTATTACATTTTTCTTCCTCCTTCCTCATCCCCCTCCTCTTAAGGAGGCTTACGCATCTTTGTGTTCAGGAGGCTTATGCCTCTTACATTCTGAACGCCTCACGTCACGCCTCCGTGTTTTAAAACATTGGTTTTACCTACTACTAGCCCAGGAAACATCAAAGTACAGCTTGTCCCCAATACTTAGGTCTGTCAGCCCCCTGTTTTACTACTAATAGGTTACAACATTGCCCAAAATAGAGTAATTTATCCAAAAAAACATTGCCAAAAATAGAGTAGATCTATCAGGTATCTGTTTTGCTAGGACATCTGCCAAACCATTTTCTGTCCTTTTAACCCAGCCAGAATTAGTGTTAAACTCTTTGCAAGAAGGTCAATTTCCCTTAAAGAAAATCTGTATTTCCAAGGGGCTGAGTTGATTTTCTTATCCCAAGAAATAACCAAGAGTCTTCTTCTACTTCCAGCTCTCTAAATCCTAGTTGCACTGCTAGTTTCAGTCCTTGTAAGAGAGGCATTATCTCAGCCTTAACCGAGTTTCTAAAGACTCCCCATATACCTGCCCCCCCTGGATTTCCAAAGGAGCTGGAGTCAAAGTTTCACTTTAGTTTATTTGGATCTGGAGGTTTCCATTCCATTCTCATAACTCCTTTATGTGTATCTGTCTGTACCACTTCAGCCCATTTCCATAACAAGCCGTTCATAGAGACATCTCTGAAAAATTCCAATGTTTTTGCCCAATGTGCAGATCTGACTTTGATGGTTTCAATCACTTCCTCCTTAGACTTACTCTTCTCATTGAAGATCCTTTGGTTTCTTTCTTCCCATATAGTCCAAACCAATGCTGCTCTTGTTATCCTCCACAAACATCTTCTCCTTTTTTTTCTATTGCCTCAAGAAGTTGGAGTTGAACAAACTAACCACATCCAATGGGGAAACCCATCTGGAACCAAAAACAGAACATAAGTACTCCCAAATGCAAGTCACAAAAGAGCAGGAAATTAGTAAATGAGGAAGGGTCACACCACTGGCCTTACAGAGGAAACACATATGAGGAGAGAGGCAATTATTTGGCCTTCTTTTTTGTAGCATATCACAAGTGTTAATCTTTCCAAGGAACATTTCCCAACAAAGAGCCTGCATTTTAGGAGGGATTGGCTTGCACTAGATTTCTCACCGGGAAAGTTAACCCCACAGGTTCAGAGGGGATGAGGTTAGAAAAGGATGCACAAGAGAAGAGGCCATTAGGTGAGGGGTACCAAATTCTGCCATCCAAAAGATTTTGGTCTAAGAAAACCTTTTTCCAAAATTAAGAGGAGAATAAGGGATTCACACTCAATATCCCTCAGACCTCTTTTAAAACCAAAGTCTCAGTTTAACCCGTGTTCTAAGGGCAAGCCAAATCTAGAAACAGGTTCGGCCTTATAGTTTGATAACAAGTACAGTGCAGGGAATTGCAAATTAAGTGGTAAATCCCCAAGCCAGAGGTTTTCCCCAAAATAAGACTATTATCACAATCCACACCAAAGCGGATGAACTTAAGGCAGGCAGGCAATACCTCAAAGACTGCTTTTCAAGGGGAGTTTGAAGTAGTGTGAGGTGCTAGTTTTACATCCCAGACATTGTCTGCTACA